AATCAACAGTTAGAGAAGTTACAAAAACTATACAAACTGACGCAGATTGAGCATCTCACCTGGAGGGAAATTTTTTTACAAAATCTCTAGAATCAAATTAAAAGGGAAATACAAGATGCCAAAGTCTGGGATAGAGCAAAGGCCATTCTGAAATGGAAGTTTATGCCTACTACATCAAAACATCAGAGAGGGCCAGGGATTTAGCTCAGTGGTGCCACCGCCTGCCTCACAAGCCCAAGGACCGGAGTTTGATCCCTGGTATCAAAACAAACAAACAAACAAACAAATCAGACAGATCTCAAATAACCTGATGATGTATCTCACAGTCTTAAAAAAAATAAGAACAAACCAAAATCAAACTGAACAGAAAGAAAGAAAAAATAAAAATGAGAACTCAAGTTAATGAGATAGAAGCTAAAAGAACAATACACAGGATCAATGAAATGAAGAATTGGTGCTTTTAAGACAAGAATGATAATTCCTTAGCCAGACTAACCAAAAGGAAGAAAAAGAAAACTCAAATCAATACAATTAAAGATAGAAAAGGTAATGTTACAACAGATGCTTCCAAAACCCAGAGGATAATCAGGGGCTATTTTGAAAACTTATATTCTAATTAATTGGAGAACCCAGAAGAAGTAGATAAATTTCTAGACACATCTGGCCTACCACAATTGAACCAAGAGGACACAAAAAAACCCAAGTATATCAACAGCAAGGAATGAGATTGAAAAAGTAATTAAAAAAAAAAATCTTCCAACAATGAAAAGCTCAGGACAAGATGTCTTCACTGCTGAATGTTACTAGACCATTAGAGAAGAACTAACACCAATCTTCCTCACATTATTTCATGCAGGAAAAAGGAAGAAATATTTCCCAATTAATTCTATGAGACCAACATCACTTTGATACCAAAACTGGACAAAGACACAACAAGACAGACGGACAGACAGACAGACAGAAAGAAGAAAACAAAACTAAACTATGGACTAATGTCCATGGTGAAAAGAGACACAAAACTCCTTAAGAAAATACATGTAAATCTGATGCACCAGCACATTAAAAAATTCATATACAATGTCATAAGACACAGGGGATGCAAGGATGTTTTAACATACGCAAGTCAGTAACTATAATACACCACATAAACAGACTCGAGAAGAAAAAAATCACATGATCATCTCAATTGATGAAAAAAGCTGTCAACAAAATTCAACATCCTTTCATGTTAATAGTCTGAAGAAACTTCATATTGAAAAATATACTTCAAAATACTAATAACTACGTAAGGCACAAAATCAGGAACAAAGCAAGGATAACCAATTTCATGTCTCCTGTTCATTACAGTACATAAAATTTTAGCTAGAGCAATTAGGCAAGAGAAAAAATAAAAAATATACAAATATAGTAATGCCTTGCTTCACAAATACTGCTGTTTGCAAACAATTCAGTTTGCAAACAAAAGTGTTCAGCAAAATTTTCCTTCTGTTTGCAAGCTCTGCATGGGGTGACAAACACAACCACAGCCATCTTCTCCAACAAATACAAATGCAATCATATTCCCTCAAATCATAAAACAAATTAAGTTCATAAACTGAGGTACCATTGTAGACAAGGAAGCAGTCAGATTACCGTTTTTTACAGATACTATGATCCTATACTTAGAAAACCCAAAGGGCTCCACCATAAGACTTTTAGAGTTGATAAATTAAGTGGCAGGATATAAAATCAATGTTTAAAAAATCAGTACCTTTTTTACATACCAATAATGACCTAGCTGAAAAAGAAATAAGGAAACAATCCCATTCACAAAATAAAGTTTTAAAAACTAGAAATAAATCTAAGGACATGAAAATTACAGAAAACTGAAGACATTAGAAGATGGAATATGAATTAGTCGATGGACCACATACATGAATCAGTAGAATCAGCACTGTTAAAATACCCACATTATCGAATGTTACCTATAGATGCAATGAAATTCCCAGTAAAATTTCAATGATACTCTTCACAGAACTAGCAAAAACAATTCTAAAATTCATATAGAAACACAAAAGACTCAGAATAGCCAAAGCAACCCTAAACAAAAAAAGCAAAGCAAGAGGCAGGTTAGCTAAAAAAGAAAAATAAAACACAAAAGTACTAATACCAGGAATGAAGGCAAGTCCATCACTATTGATTTGATAGTCCTTAAAGAATAGTAAGGGAATATTATAAACTGCTCTATGCACACAAATTTGATAATATAAATACATGAATAAATTTCTTTTTTTTTTGGCAGTATGTAGAAAGTGGTTTTATTATAGGGATGGCAGTGTTGGTTCAGCATTAGAAGATCCACCCCCAAAAGTCATCATTTTAACAGAGGAAAGGAAAAAAGCCATATGATCCTGTCACTAGTTGCAGAAAAAGTATTGGACTAAATTCTACAGCTGTTCATGGTAAAAGCTATCAGGAGAATAGAAGTAGAACAGAAGCTTCTCAACAGATTAAAGACATGTACTCCATACTTCCAGCAAAAATGCCTTATATGAAT